AGATAATTTCCCAAGTTCACAAAGCTAGTACACAGGTACACCAGGATTAGAAGTCATATTGGTACATCTCTACAACATACATTCCCAGAGTTAAGCATAATAGACTAGCTGTGTATCTCCTCCTAGTTTTACCAGAGTGTTATAATCTCAAGACATTTTCACACACATACTAAATTCAGTTGAAATTAGACTTTCTCTCATATTCCTAACAGAAATAATCAAATATATCACCCTTATAGTATGAAAGTCAAACATTTCAAAGCTACACCTTTTTTTTAAAAAAATGTGTAATAAATATAAGAATGTTTGTTATTTAAAAAAAAAGAATTTAATTTTACTTGAATTCACAATCAACATTCATGGGACCAGCAGTCAAGAAATCACACAACAATGTCGTGTTTAGGGCAAATGGGCTGCAAAGGACCTCTTTAAAGTGCTAGAGAGGAAAGGTGTCACTTTGAGAAATAAGGTACACTTGACCTGGGATACAGTATTTTCAATCACCCCAACATATGTGGCGGTTGGACAATGAGGAAGACCAGAAGAACTGATGCCTTCAAGGTGTGGTGTTAGTGAAGAGCGTTAAATATCACGGACTCCCAAAAGAACCAATCTGTGCTGAATGAAGCGAAGCCAGAATGTTATTTGGAAATGGAGATATCTTGTCTTCCAGTCCCTCGAGAATGCTGCCATTCTTGGTAAAATAGAGGACCAGGGAGAGAGAAAGAAAGAAAATGCTCGATGAGGTGGATGCACATATTGGCTGCAACAATCAACTCAGTAACAGCAGAGACTGTGGGGCTGACTCAGAACCAGGTAGCATTTCACAAGGTTGCTAGGAGTTAGAGACAGGTTAACAGAACCTAATAAAAACAAGAGTCAACCAAGTCCAAGTTCTGTTTGGCTTCACGAAACCTCAGAGCTGATGATACATTTTCTTTTTCCCAACATAATGAAGGCATTGGGGTCATTGGACACTGTGTGGCCATGTTTGTGCACATTTTCATCAATGAGTGAGTTTAGGAAGGTGAGTGGATGGTGGGACAAAAGAGGGAGTTTTTTTGTTTATTAATATTTTTATTTTAAATTCATTTTAATGAAAGTTTACAAAGACTTTGAATTTCCATTCATTCATTGTTGCACTTTTCTCCCTGCCCACACCTCTCCCTCAATTAGCTTTTCTTTTCGAAAAGTAAAAGAAAAAATTCTTTCATTGTTATTTAATCCCTCCCCTCAAGTCCACTCCACTATGCTACCTTCATTCTGGACTACTGTCATAACAATAATAGCTAATCATGTCAGTCTTCTTTTATAACAGTTGCATTATGCCATATTTGTCTTCTTGTGACTGAGATATTTCACTCAGCATAATGTCCTCCAGGGTCATTAATTTTGTGTAATATTTCTTGAGTTCCTTGTTTTTCAATGCAGCATAATATTCCATTGTGTGAACTATACCACAGCTTCTCTATCCATTCGTTTGTTGATGGGTACTTGGGTTGTTTCCAACTCTCTGCTATTGTGAACAAAGCTGAAATAAACATAGGTGTGCATGCATCTGTTTGGGTGGCAGTTATGGTTTCTTTAGGGTATATTCCCAGTATTGGAACCTCAATCAGATGTTCTTGCATAGAAAGTATGAATTGAGTTAACCCAAGTCTCTGTATTTTCTAGCCAGACTACAAAATCGCGGACCCAATCTGCACATTTGTTTTTTCCATCCTGGTTTTGGCCAGCACCATCACTATCTTAAAGGACCTCTTCGTCCTGCTTATGGAAGGTAAGAGCGATTGTATTATTCCTGGCAGCAATGTTCTCTTGCCCTATGATCATAGAGATTAACCCAAGTCATGTGGTTCATTTGTACTATCAGGAGAATTTAGACTGATTGAAAAATTTAATAACAAAAAGGGAAATATTTTATTTTATCCATATGTAAATAAATAAAAATAACTGGCTCCTATTTTCCCTCCAGCAACTGGTGGATATTGTCCAGGACACAATAAGTATACCCACTAGAGAGAAAACACTGAGGGAACACACATAAAATAATAATAAATTCAGCCCTGAAAATCCCTGGAAAGGACCCAAGAAAAAGTGAATAAACCTCCCCCTTGGGCAGTATTATAACTGAACATTGTAGTCAGCTGTGTATGACCCTGGATAGAGAGGATCCTTTTTTTTTTAATCCAACAAATGTTTATTGAGCTATGACTCTATGCCAGTTAGTATGGTTGTGACTGGAATTACAGAAATGAACAAAGCTGAATTTGTTCTTATTGCCATTGCTTAGTGAAGGGAGAGAGAGATTGTTTAAATGCTTATAGAGAAATCAGACAGCAATTGCACAACAAAACAGACTTAGAAGACATGCACTCAGAACTCTTCTCAGGAGCAAAGATGGCCTTTCATCAGGAAAGGCCAAACACGAGGGCAGGACATCATGGCTGATAAGTAAAGAGTCAGTGAAAATGAGAGAGACCCTTCATGAAACACAACAATGGACCTAAAACAGATCTGAGATCAGGAACATGACATAGAGAGGTTTGAGCAACATATTTTTCTGTTAGGCATAAGGTTGCCATAAGTCCCAGTTGACTTGATAAGGAAGAGAAGTGTGGGGACTTTGCTGGGGATTTTGGTCTAACCAGGAGATGTGGACGAGTGCTCACAAAGCCTTTCCTAAGGACCTGATGTCCCTGGGCCCTCTGTGGGCTGAGAGCAGTTTGTCAAGTTTGTTCCTTTCATTCCCCACACTGGGAGTCCAGCCCTGAGAGCTTGCTTGGACTTGTAGAATTCCTGGATTTCCCAGGTCTTCCATTTGTCCAGGAATGCATTATGTGTGTAAACTACTGTTGAGAAGTTCTTTCCCCTGTTTAAACTTTACTTCCTCACACACTTTTACATTTTAGCGGTTCATTTTTAATTTGGCATAAAATGGTTGAAGCACTCCTGGATTATGACTTTGTTGGGCGGTATCTTTGACTGAGTTGTGTAGTAGGATTAGCAATGTTAAACGAACCTCAGTTCAATTCTGGTCATGCAAGTTACTTGCCATAGGATTCCAGGAAACACTTTCAACTCTTCTAAATGTCAGATTTGGGAATTTGAAAATGAAGTACTGTATCTATAAGGCATTGTGGTTTTGAGAATTGTTGTTATTGTCAAATGTCATCAAGATAGTTTGGATGTACATGTTTGACCAATTTTATACTGCAGAAATCTTTGCTTTCTTGGTACTAATTAATGATTGGTGCACAAATTGGAACTCTAGTCATATTAACAGACACTCTTGAAGTTGTAGGAATTATACCTTTTCAGCCTATATGCAGAACAGATTATCCGGGAGGCTGGGCTCTATGAGGAGAAATGTGGGGTCAAGAGTGGTGGACGATTTATCAACAACCTGCGCCATGCGGATGACACAACCCTGCTTGCTGAAACTGAAGAGGACCTGAAGCACCTTCTGCAGAGTGTCAAGGACTGCAGCCTCCAATATGGATTGAGGCTCAATGTCAAGAAGACAAAGATTCTCACCACGGGACCAATTGGCAGCATCAGGATGGATGGTGAAGAGATTGAGATTGTACACAGCTTTAGCTTGCTTGGCTCCACAGTCAACAGTCTTGGCACCAGCAGCCAGGAAATTAAAAGGCGCATTGCCATGGGAAAGTCTGCTGTTAGGGACCTCTCCAAAGTGCTGAAGAGCAGTGGTGTCTCTCTGGAGACTAAGGCACGTCTGATACAGGCCATGGTCTTCGCAATCGCCTGTTATGCATCAGAGAGTTGGACAATGACCAAGGAGGATAGAAGGAGAATTGATGCCTTTGAGCTGTGGTGCTGGAGAAGAGTATTGAGAATACCATGAACTGCTAGGAAAACAAATAGATTGTCCTGGAGAGAGTTAAACCGGGTGGCTCCTTGGAGGCAAGGATTCTGAGGCTCCGTCTAACTTACTTTGGACATGTAGTGAGGAAAGACCGATCCTTAGAGAGGGACATCATGCTTGGGAGGGTGGAGGGACGGCGCAGGAGAGGAAGGCCCTCTATGAGGTGGATTGATTCAGTGACTGGGATAATTGGGATGGGAGTGTCAGAGACAGTGTGATTGGCACAGGACAGAGTGGAGTTTAGGGCTGTTGTACATAGGGTCGCTATGAGTTGCAGGTGACTCGACGGCACATAACAACAACAACAACACTGATAGTTTTATATTCCAGGATAGATCTAGAAATATTTTCTTTGACAGAATGTGACACAATTAATAATGGGTATTTACAGCTGTTACTCAATTTTGAGTAGTATTAGTTTAGCAAATTTAGGTTCTGAAAATTTACTGTTGTTTGATGTGTTATGTGCTGTTGAGTCACCTATGACTCATAGAGACCCCACGTACAACAACTCTGAAGCTTGCGCTTTCCTGAGTCAGACTCACTGATTCGGACACACCAACCCCTATTGCCTCAACCTGTTGTATCAACCCATTTCATCCGGGGGGTTCGTCTTCTGAGCTGTAATGTGATATGTTTACTACATTATTACAATTGAGAAGACAGCTTTTCTTCAGCATAATTTAAGTACCTTTCAACCTAAGCAGCTTCAGACAATATTCTATCAAAAATCTGCAAACTGGTCAATTTTTTTGAGAAATATATTGCCTAGTCTTTCTGCTTAGTCTGTCTTAGTCTGGAAATTCTGCTTAAGGTTGCCCAGAGAGGTGACTCTGCTAGTAATTGAAATGCTGGTGGAATACCTTTCAGCATCACCGCAATATCCAAATCACCACTGCACATCAAACTGACAGCGGAGTTGTGGTTTTAAAAATCAAATGCGATATATGAGACTATGTCTAGAACACAGCAGAAGTATAATAATGGTATTCTCATCTAGCTTTTTTTAGTTGACTTGAATATGAGGTATATAAATCCAGTCTGTGGATATGAATGCTATACTGTTCATTAATTCTCATACTGAGAAATTCCTGACTTTTGGTCATAAACTGTGACCATAGCCTTGCTCAGCCGTCAATGCAATGGCCTCAGGAGAACCAGAGGAGAAGCAGCTAGAATAAATCCTTCTCCATTATCAGGGAACATGTTAAGCGGCACATGAAAGGAGGGGACTACTGACTCAGAGTGACATTATTTTTTGTATATTAAAATATATTAGACACATAAACACTTGATTACATTTGCAAGGTGATTTATCAGTGTTATTGTTACCATCTGTAAATTGGCCCAAATGACAATGTTTTTGCATCTATGTTCCAAAAAACCAGCACCCAGGAGGGTTTTGGCTGACACTGTGACTAGACTACGCCAGCAGTTCTCAACCTCTAGTGACATCAGAATCACTTAGAGGATTCGTTAAACCAGATTTCTGGGCCCACCCCCAAGGCCTCATTGTTCCTGAGCCAGGAAAAAAATACTTGTACTTGGTGAAATTTTAAAACAGTACAGAAAGATATAAAATGATGGCAAAATCTCCCCATCTCTCCATTTCTATAACTTGTGGTCCCATTTTTCAGTTATAATACCCACTAGTAAGCTAATAGGCATAGTTCAGAAACTGTTTATGCAATTGCATGTGCATATGTGTGTGTATGTGTATGTGATTGGTTATGCATAAGGAGTTTTAGTAGCTGCCTGGCAGCCCCAGAATGGTTTGAATCAGTCAGCTCTGCAGACTGGACAGTCTCCTCCCATGTGATTTACAGCCTCTGAAAAACCAGCTGGAAGGCCAGCTATGAGTCCATTCTGTCTCCACAGCACATAACAACAGTTACGCATGTGCATGGTACGTGCAGCTGAGTAACCACCTAGAATGAAGTCCAGGCCCCACCTCTGAGAGTCTGACTTAGTTGGTTTGGGGTGGAGTCTGAATCTGGCATTTTTAATGTGCCATCAAAGTTGAGATCTATTTCAAGGCGGAGCTGCTCAGTGGCTTGTACGCACCGAGGCAACGGTTTTCAACCTTGACTTCATATTAGAATCTCCAAATGAGCTTTAAAATATTGACACTGAGTTCTATCCCCAGTGATTCGGATTTAATGGATCTTGGATATAAACCTCCTTTTGGTATACTAATGTTAATTCAAGGTTAAGGCGAGCGACACGCCAGCAGACCAGGCCTTTGCCGGGGTTTGCCTCTTGGGTCTCAATTCTTAGGATGATCCCTTTGGGAACGGATAGTAGGCTCCTCGACTATTGAGTTTCCTGTGTGTGCTGTCATCTAATAAACTTTAGGTGTTATTTAAAAAAAAAAAAAAAAAAAAAAAATTCAAGGTTAAGAACCACTCAGAAAGCCTGTAGAGTCTCCTTCATAAAAATTTCCTTTAGGAGTTCTGGAATGGAGAAAAAAAAGTCTTTTTAATGCTCTCTCATGTGAGGGTGGTGGATGGCTCTGACACCACTCTTGAGAATAATTCAGCTAGAGTCTAAAATCAGAGGACTCATTGTCACAAGGTGGTTTTTGACTTTTTTAATTGATTATTTAAAGAACTGTTGTTTTTGTTTTTGATCTTACAGTTCAGTGTCCAAGGCTGTAAATCTTGGTGGAAGCAGACTGCCACTTTGTTTCGCTAAAGCCGTCAATGGAGTAAAAATCCTTAGCAACTGAGATGTTGAACCACTGAGCTTCCAGAGTTTAGGAGATTAGGAGTTATTTCTCTAAATCCCTTCTACACGTCCTCTTAGTGTTATCTTTGCTTCCCTGGGTTTACACTTCTCAGATGGCTTTGCCATTCTTATACTGATTGGTTAAAGACAAAAACAAAATCAAAAACCCAGAAAAACACATTTATTTTTTTTTAGAGTCTGATTTTTATTACTATTTTTGTTATTGTCTCAGACCTGAATAATGAAATTACATATTACAAATAAAATAATTTTACTTTTACCAATTACTACACATGACTCTTTGTTAAAATCTGATGAGAATATAAATTTTATCAACTTTGTGTTATATAATTTATTAATTTAAAATTACTCAACTATAGTAGAATCATATGTAAAAAGTGGCATGATTTTATATCCAGCTAGCTCTAGTAGTCTACTAGTAAGGACATGTGCTGCCAACTGGAAGGCAGGTAGTTGGAATCTACCAGCCACTATGCAGAGGAAAGAGAAATTATCTCCTACTGTGTAGTTTGTAACCAGCAAAGCACATTTAAATTGAAGAAAGAAGGGCAATCTCTCCAGGTTGTGTTACAGAAACCCGGTAAAGGGTTAACTATGTGTTGGCTTCAGCTGGGTGGCACTGAGTTTGCTATGTCTGTTCCAGCCTCGCTTGGAACCATGGTGCTCCTTCTCTGTTTGGAGCTAAAGCAAATACCCTTTCACCATCAGTTCCTCTCATCTTTTTTTATGATGCACTTTACAAATTTCAAAGAAGGATATAATGGTTCCTTTAGCTGCCTCCTGTGCAGGTTGGAGACACTTCCGTTACTTCAGCCTAAAAAAATGGCTGCTTTATCTCCCAGGTCCCCATCTTCCTATGTGCCCACAATGTCTCATTGGAAACAAGAATGATAGTGGACTAGTACATTATACAACTTGGCACTGGAAAGCAATGAAAGTGGTTAAAGTAATCAAAATATTACCAACTAAATGATAGGGTGGTATCGCTGAGTTGGGTGCTCTAACAAATGACCTGTTGGATAACTATCATTTTTAGTAGCACTAGAGTTTACAAAGAGCAGAAATTTCCTGGGCTGATCTTGTAAGAACTGAGAAAGAAACTGTTCTTCCTACCCAACAAAGGGATATATGATCACAGAAGTCCCAAGATTTGGGTAATTTCACAGTAGATGTTGCCAGAATGCTAACTGGGATTGTTTGTTACTGAATTTCATATAATTTCATTTTCTTTCTTTTAAGAACACATATGAAGACAATTTTTAAAGACACAATTGGATTAAAATACCCTAAAATGTAAAGATTGTTGCTATTGTTGGCTATTACATTGGGAATTCTGTAAATTATTTGTCTGTGAATTTTAGGTTGATGCTAAGCCTTTTGAAATAGGTACATCTAATTTCAAAGTATTTGAAATAAGAAAGAAAAAAAGGGGAGGTCAAGTTGGTACTTTGGTAAGGACTTTGCCACCCTTTGAACTCTCTCCACAAGCTATTATTTAGTTGAATAACAACCGCCTCCTACTCTGTCCTTTTATCAGGTGTGCCAAAGGGCTTGCATTACGATGCTGTCAAAGAGCTTCTCTTAGCAGTTGACGGGGTGGTATCTGTACATAGCCTGCATGTCTGGTCTCTAACAATGAACCAAATGATTCTCTCGGCTCATGTTGTTACAGGTCAGTGAATTTTGTAAACACCGTGGATGAAATTCAGCCCTTGTCCTGTGAAGTCAGTAATTTCTCTCCTCTTACGGTGTTGCCCTGAGTGATGGCTTCTGTAAGACTGTTACAAAGTATTTTTGTACCTATCACAGGCCTTTGAAAACCACCCTCTTATCAATGTTTTCTAGAATCATGATGCTAGTGGCATCCTTTGAAGCCAGCTGTGGAGAGTAGAGGACAGACTGGACAGAGGGCTCACCAGCTACTGAACTTCTGCAGTCAGATGTCAGCTGGCCAGCTTGGTACCCCGTCACATCAATGTGTAGGAATGATTTCAACAGTAGATCCCTGCGTATTAGACGCTTTGCCTAGAACTAATCATGTAAAGATTATTCGTGACCAGGACACAGGTCTCATCCTTAATGTTGTAATATGATAGTAGGCTAGATGGAGTTTTCTTTACTGAGTAATAAGAAACTCTGGAGCTATAACAGAGAAGTCTGAGATGATTTGATTTATACTAAAGTCAGCTTTCTAAATTAGAGAATGACCCTGTTCATGAGATATCTTCTTGTCTGAAGATGCTGAGTTGACACTGCCTCAAGGGAACCACGCAGAACAGGATAAAACAAACATTGTCCAGTTCCGTGTCATTCCCACGATCTGTTATGAATCATGGGGTTTTTATTCATTGATGTCTCAAAGTAGAGTATCAGACCATTCTTCCTAATTTACCTTCGTCTGAAAGTTTTCCGGAAATCGTTCAGTATTAAAGCATCACACGGGTCTCCAATGACAGATGGATGAGAGGGAGGTGGCAGTGCATGAAATACATTGACTAGAAATTAAAGCCAGGTCTCCTGCACAAGAGGTGATAATTCTGCCCTAGAACTACCATGGCCTCCATGTATGCCACTCGTGCTAGATGATATGTCTCCATTGTATATCTCTCATGATAAATTGCAGAGGACAAGACCGGCCATCTTTCTCCTTAGCTGCTGTTGGGAGATCCAACCACTAGAAAGGCCGTCCCCTTTGGGTTATCAGTGCAACACTCACACACTAGGCCACCAGAGTTCCCTTGATTTGTCCTCGGGAGGGTAAAGTAGATAGTCCTTTAATGGTTTCATGGGGAAAGCAAGCCAAGCGAAGTAGATTAGAATATTTATAAAGAACTCAAGAAAGTCGCTAACAAGCCAGGCAGTGAGTCATCTGAGGCCTGAGCTTTCTCAGACTTCCTCACCCTCTCTGAAGAGCTCCGATCTGACTTTAGGGAATTTATAATGTTCGCAACACCAATATTTCATTGCAAATAGAAGACTCTAGTAAACAATCAAGCTGCTATAGAGGAGATGTTACAACCTCCTGATACCATTTGGGACAGGAAAAAAGATGGCAGTGTGGGTTGCTACTCCAGGAAAGGTCCTTGGGGAGCTCTAAATGCTGCCTGGTTCCTGTCACCAGCTTTGACATAAATTCTGATTAGATACAAGGGCTGCAGCCTTGAGGTCCCTGGAGACTGTTGAACAGGGTTGTGTGAGAAATGAAAGTTCTGATACGCATTTCTCAGGGCTTGTCTCCACTTTCCCACTCTCAGGAGTGTCAGACCCCCGGGAGAACTGTGGGTGCAACAGAATGTCCCCTACCTTGTCTGGGTGAAAGCTGCTGAGCGTCAGGGTCGCCCTGGTTCCTTTGGAGTGCTCTGTCTGTACCTCACCCCGCCAGGTCAAAGACAAAGAAGGTGCAGCTGAGACTATCACAACCCCCCCACGCATGTACAATCATTGCTAATCTTTGTGATGGTTCTTTATTAACAGCAGCCGGCCGGGATGGCCATGTGGTTCGGGGAGAGATCGCCAGACTCCTAAGCAGTAGTTTTGCCATCCACTCTCTCACCCTTCAGATGGAATCTCCAGCCGACCAAGACCCTGATTGCCTTTTCTGTGAAGACCCCCGGAACTAGCCCAGTCACATTGTGCGTTTTCTGCTATCTATGCTACTAGGAAATTTCTGGAACGTAAGAAATAAGGAAGCAAAGGAAGATGTTCAAAAAACGAATGACACAGTACACAGGCACATCTTCTTTTTCTGTGTTAAACTCCGTCCATTCATTGAGAATGAAGATGTGCTTAGACCCATCACAGTACTTATATACTCATCAGGGACATTTGTGTCTTCAGGTTGTTCCGGATTGTCACTAAAGTAACATCTGTTTGCACCCAGAGACAATATGATGTCCACTTCTCTTCAAAAAGGCTTCCTGGGACTGGGCCAAGTTGCATTCAGAAATGTCTTGTCAGGAGTCAGTGGCAGAAGCAGGTAAAAAGAGATACACCCATGAGGCGCATTCCACTCAGAACGATTAACTGTACTAGGGCCAAAAGGTCAGCATTCACCCCAAACATAAAGTTCAGGCAGCAGGAAAGGAGAAGGGGTGGAACTGGGCGTCCAGGGAGAGCATGAGAAGAGTGCTGGCACATTTGCCAATGAGGGGTGAAAATGTTATGGAACAAAATGTGTATAAATTGTGGAGGGGAAAACTAATTTACTCTATAAACTGTCAACTAAGCACAAGAAAATGTTTTATAAAACCCAGAAATTTACCAAAAAATAACCCAACTGAGGAGGTAAGGGAGAAGAGTCTGGATACACAGTCATGGTGCAAATAGTTAACACACTTACTGCTAGTCCAAATGTTCAAGTCTACCTAGTGGTACTTCAGAAGAAAAGCTTGATATTGATTTCTGAAAAATGAACCATTAAAAACTCTGGAGAAGAGTCCTACTTGGACACATATGTCATTAGGATGAACTTGGAGGCAACTGGTTTTGGTTTGTTGTTTTCTTGTTTGGTTTTAACATCTGCTTAGAACTTAACTTTCTCCTTGAACTGTAATGCAACCTCAGGCAACAGCTGTTTGACTCCTGTGTCTCAACCTTTCCATTTGCTACTCAGGGCAGAAGCGTCTCTCTTATCTGTCTTGCTTACGTATCATGTTGTAACTAATGGGTTGGAGACGGTTGAATTATTTTTTTTTCCTTTTTCTTACTTCTCTGGATAAAACCTGAACAAATTAACTACTTAGATTGAACCTGTTAACAGCAGATTCAGAAGGAAAGACATTTACAGGGAAGGCTTGATGACAAGCAATGGAATGCCAAGGATTGTTGACAGTCTCCAGAGCTGAGAAGAGCAACTCTCAGGAGAATGGACACGGCTGAGGCTCTGGTCGGACATTTAGCACCTAGAAATTTGAGAAAATAGGTTCTGTTCTTTAAAGTCACCCATTTATGGTACTTTTGTTGTTATGACAGCACTGTTTAATTGCCAACTAAGACACCAACTATCATTGGCAGTGACACTCAGTCATCCAGAAGCACAGGCAAAGATGTCTACATGCCCAAGAAGGAGATCACTGAATTTTATAATCTAGGAATGGCGGTGGGGTGTGTGTGTGTGTGTGTGTGTGTGTGTGTGTGTGTGTGTGTGCATGTTTGATCTAACTTGTCATAAAAAGGTGAAAGCCAAGTCAAACCCACTATTACCTAGCATATTCTTGTTCATGGCTATAAATCTTCACAAAGGAAGACTGCTTGTCTCTCTCCTGAAGAATTGAACCACCAACTTTCAGGTGGCATCCCAACGTTTAACTGTATCACTAGAGCACCTTGTACACTGTCGTAGGTATTGCTCAATTTGTGTTCTCTTTACATAATGGCCAAGCCAAGGAAGGAGGAAGGCTGAATTGATAAATGGCTGTGGGCTGACTTAAAAAGTGTGAAAAGCAATGTATATGAACTTTATGAAGGTTGTATGTAAACCAATATAAAATAATAATTTGTTTAGAAATGTTCTTTTTGCAGAATTATCAGAATGAGGCAATGATGACAGGAATGTGCAAAGGAGCAGATATGTGAGGGTTTAGAGACAGTAAACTACGCAGTCGAGGATTGGACATGAGTGAATTAGGGAGTACAGCTTTCGGCCCTCACAGAGCACGATCTTTTTAGTTCTCTGACCTTCAGCCAGAATCCAATTTCTCTGGGCTGCTGATTCCTCGTCTGAAAATGGACTCATTTCATCAATGTATTTCTGTTAGATTTAAATGGGATGATGAATGAGTCAATAAAGGCTCTCTCTAATTCAAGATTTCTCAGCCTTGGCACGTTGGTATTTTGGGCTGAATCATTCTTTGTTATAAGCAGTTATCCTCCGCGTTTTTGGAAGTTTAGACATAACTTTGCTTTACCCACTAATTGCCTCTCTCTCTCTATCCGTGTCAGGTTTGACAATCATAAATGGCAAATGCTTGTCCTTTGGTGAACACAATCATTCTGGGTTGAGAACTACTTAAGACAGTACAGGACAATAGAAGTCAATAAAAGGGTTAGTAAGAAGAGCCCTGGAGTAGAAAGATAAGAAAGAGCTGTACTCAGGTGCAAGAACACTGTGCTTCACAGTAACCTGACCCACAGCATGCTTCTCTCTGTGCTTTCTTAAGAAACCTACTTAAAGTTGTTTCTCAGAAACTCGTGTGATCTGAACCAGTGTAAAGTCGGACCAGGGCCTGCACACAACTTTGCTTCCTGACATCTTGCCAGTGGAAGGCAATGCTAAACCCATCCCCAAATAAACAATGTCTGGTGGGCTACTAGATAAAGAGTTAATAAGTAGCACCAAGCATCTCTGGTGCCCTAGTGGGTAGAGTTGTGCTGCCAACCTAAAGCTGGTGGTTCAAATCCACCAGCTCGCCCCTCAGGAGAAAAGGTGGGCAATCTTCTTCCAGGTGGTTTACAGCCTCTGAAAACCTGCTGGAAAGTCAATCAGCTATGAATTGGTTCCAACCAGACGACAGTGAGTGATTCCAATTGGACAAGTTTCAGGAAGAACCACCCGGAAATCTTTGTTCCTTTTCTTCTCAACAGTTCTCCTGATGCAGTCACTGCCCTGCTTCAAAACTGCTTGAGTGAGACGAGGTGTGTGCTGCCTTCAGGCCTTTCGTATCTTCCCTTGTAAGACACTGTCGCTTTAATAAAGTCTTTGCTGGTTAGAGAAGTCTGGCCTCTTGTTTTTTTATTGTTATTAAAGGAAAGGAAGAACCTTGGTTTGAAGAGTGGTCCTACCACACATTATTTCACACACACACACACACACACACGCACGCACGCTCTCACAACACACGTGTGAACTTACAGGCTATAAGAGAGAAAAACCAATGGGAGTGTGTAGGGTTGTGGTGCCGAGCATAGCTGCCTTTTGATAGGAAATTAGCAACCAATAGAAAGTTCAGACTCACCTCTGCCTCCTGAATTCCTCGACTTCTCCTCAAGGGAAGCCCTGAGTCACATGTGAGGGACAGCCAAGAAAAAGGGGAAGACATTCTAGACAAAGGGAAGAGTATTTGCAAGGCATGTTTATGTTTGTTAGCTTTTCATGTGAAAAGCAAAGTATAGGGAGAAAAAGAAACTGTCTACTCTCAACATGATTCTCAAAGTGATATAATGCTGGTTGCTCTATGGTTATTCATACTACAGAGAAGTTAGGTCTTGGATGGTTTTTATGTCAGCAACTAGCCTCGTGCTAGAAACCAAACAGGCATTAATAATATTTGAGACAATGACTCTGGGGCTCTTTGTGGGCCTTGTCATTGTTTTTCTCATTTACATTTGTGTTTTCCTGAAATTCTGAGGGCCAAGAAAATATTGACTTTGACGGAGGAGGTCACAGCTGAGCCATCTCTGCGAATCAATCAGCCCTCTGCTCAAAGAGCTGCTTAGCATTCTGCTGATGGCCGTTGGGCTCTGCAGAGACAAATACACTTGTCTCCCACCTCAGTGAGCATGTTTTAGGCAAAAGCGAGATTAAAGCGGCTCAGGTTCCCAATGTCTGCTGCCTCAGCTGGCCCTCCAAACGGAAAGGCAGGTTCAGGCCAAACCATTACTCCTCTCTCAACGACCACTGGAAGCTCTTGTTTTCCCACATTTTCTGTTGATCAGACAGCCCTGAGGATCAGGTAACTGGGCAAAGGCAGAGGTCCCAGCACGGCTGTTTTATTTTGTGTTAAATATACATGTAAAAAAACACTTGCTATTTTAACTTTTTTTGCATGTGCAATTCAGTAACATGAATCGTATTTCCAGTTGTTCCCACCCCCCTCAAAAGATGTCCAGTGGCTCCTAAGTCACAAGTTCCTTTTCTCCTACCTGCCCGGATAAACGTTGGTCTCTATACGATTGCTTATTCTAGTGACTTTATAGACTTTAAGTGAGATCATACTTTAAAGTCAAGTTCATGTGACATGGTTTTATGTCAAGCATCCTAATGTTAGTGGCGGCAGGGAGGTATTTATGTGTCAAACACAGGAATTGCTCCACACCTCTCTTCTCTCCTCTCGTCTCCTCCCCTCCC